GAAGCTGGAGCACAGGCACTGGCGCACATGCTGACACCAGCTCCTACTAGTGCTGTGAGCAAGAAAGCTCAGCCCTGTCACAGACTGGGGTCTCATGCGTGCTGCCAGCCCCCAGGAGACTTTGTGTGGCAGGCTACCTCAGTTACTCTGGAAATAGGGCAAGGTCTGAAACTCTTCACAGCCCTTGACAGCTCACTTTTCTGAGTCTCAATTTCCTCAACTGTAAAATGGGAACAACAGAAAGGCTGTGGGGATGACAAGCATTGATACACATAAAGGGCTTAGAATAGCTTTCAGCCCTGGATACATGCTCAAATTAAGATAGTTATTTTAGGGGCGCCTGGGTGGCTCAGTCAGTTAAGCAGCTGCCTTCAGTTCAGGTCATGATCCCGGGGTCCTGGGATCAAACCCTGCATCAGGCTCCTTGCTCAGTGGGAAGTCTGCTTCTCCCTCTCCCTGCTGCTCCCCCTGTTTGTGCCCTCTCTCTCTCTCTCTCTCGCTGTCTCTGTCAAGTAAGTAAATAAAATCTTTAAAAAAAAAAAAAAGTTATTTTATCTACTCCTGTAGGCCAAATGTTTCAAACCTCAAAAAAGCAAAAGAAACATCATAAAAGAGGACAAGCCCACGATGGATGAAGAGACAGACTTACTAGGGTCTCTGCATGAACTGAAGCTTCAAAAGTCCTGAAATAATTTACAGATGCGATTATAGAAGACTACTCATAACTCCGAAAAATAATCTTCTGAAAAGAAAACAGGGGAGAGAAAACAAAAAATGCCAAAAATCCCAGTTTTAAGAAATGGATTCTGGACACAGCAGACAGGCCAGTGAGATGCAGATTCCTGAAAACATTCTAGAATCGATGATGAAACAGATGGTCTGTAAGCCTGTGGAAAGAACATAGTGAACACTGGAAGCCTGCATGAGCCCACAAGTAACATGCTGTGCTGTACTAATATTTTTTCTGAGAGGATTATCTGGTTAACCACCAAAATACCGTGAAAATAGTATAGCATGATTTCCGCAAGAACGGGCAATGTGGGATGGAGGAACAGGCTTTGAATGAGAATATAAAGAAGGCAGCTACTGACCTGAAAGATTTCTAATGGAGTGCCAACTCTATCCTGTGCATTGGGGTTAGCCTAGACTTGGGCAAAGGTACAGAAAACATGTCTGGAGATGGCATAAACCTGGAAGAGCCAGCATGCCATTTGAAATATTTCCACAGTCCGGAAGCATGGCCTAGCCCAACAGAAACAGAATTCAGTTCTTCGCTGGGGTTCTTTGCAAGCCAGACAGTGGCTAAGGGAAGTAAACCTGGGATTTCAGTCGCCTAGAGGCCTGGGGAGCACCAGGCCAGAGGTGGGATGCAGCTCCTGAAAGAAAGAAGCTTTGGCCACACTGAGCCGCATCAGCACAGGGATGTGGCCTGACACCCCGAGCAGATGCCACCACGAGCCATCGTGTCCAGTGCCTTGTGTACATCTCTCGCTTAACCCTTACAATCCAGGTGTACAGATGGAGGATGAAGTTCAGAGAGCTAAAAGAACAGACACGTTATGCCAAGACCATGGGACACCTCTGCCGCATAGCCAGGATGCAACCCCAAGTCTGGGCCACCCCTTGGCCTGTTGAGACCTCCACACCACTGTCCAGTGGCCTCGGTCACCCCACACCAGCAGAGCTGCACCCAGTCCCCCAGGTCACTCTCAAGGCCAGGTCACATGAGAAACTGCAGAACTAGAGCAAATCAAGCTGGAGAAGAAGGAGAAAGATGTGATGAAGCCTAAATGCATGATCACACCTTACCAGACCTCTGCGGGGCCTGTTCCTGCTCCTCACTCCCCACTTGCATCGGTCCACGTCCATGTGCTCCGTCTGCCTGAATCCGGCCCCACCAGCCTGCTGGCAGGTGTCTGAGCCCCCGCTTCGCTCACACCTTGAGACACTGCACCTGAAGGCTTGCCCTCCTCCATGGCATGCCACTTTCAATTGGCCAACTCTGCCTCGTCCGTCCTTCAGACCTCAGCTCCCTCCAGAGACTGCTGCGTTGGACTGGGGCCTGGGCCGAGCCCACCCCCTGCTGCAGGGTGACCATCTGCTGAATGTCCTTCAACAGACACCCCAGTACATCTCCTGCCTGATGACAGAGCCTCTCATGCACTAACCCTTGGGGAAGATTAAAAAACAAGCAAAGTTATTTTAAGGGCCCCTACAAATATGAATTATCTTATCAAAAATTAATTTAACAAATCTAAAATACCATCACTAATACTTTTGTGATAGGAATTTATTAGGTTTTGGTTTCCAGACCTCTACAAAGTTAATGCACAATTGTCTGTCCCCCAGAAGAGAATAAAGACATCAGCAGCAACGGAGAGAGGCAATCTCGCCTCAAAACCCGGATTTTCCACCTTCTTCTCAGGTATGATCAACGGGAGGCTCTACCTTTGATATTATTCCATGTCTTCTGAAATGAGGTTAACTCTACTCCTAAAAGATCTGAATCAGTTAATGAATTCCAAATTAACAATTCTGACAGTGCCTGGCTGAAAAAGGGAAGGGAATCTGACAAACCAGTTTGACAGAAAAGATCACCTTTCTGGCTTTGGAGTGACTAAAATGACAACATGTCAGAGGAAAGGGTGTGTTTGTGGAACCGTTTGTTCCCTACAATCAAACTACCACTTTATCTGGAGGCATGCACCCAGCTCTTCAGGATGCAGCTTGGTAGAGAAAATGCCTTCCTGAGGACCACCAACCATGAAGTGATGCTATGCCCAGCCCCAGAAGGTGCCTTTCTTTGGTCTATGTTTTGTATCTCCCAAGAGCTTGGTCTCCTATAAAGTAAACCATGAAAGACAAATGAAACAGACCCTGCTGCACAGTGTTATTGGACATTGCTCTGTTTAAAGTACAGGCCTGCAGTCTGCCAAACCTTCTCAGAGAAGCCATACATGGGACGATTCTCCTCTCCCATTCCCATTCAAACGATGTTTTAATGGACAATAAAGAGCAAGCTTAAAAATAAACAGCAAGCAGCAGCTGGAGATGTTAGGAGGGTGTAAAGACTGAGTTTTATACTCTGCAAGTGGAACTGCACCCCAAATCTACTTTTAGCCATGAGTCCCACAGTAAGGGTAGAAATGATCTTCCATAAGAGAGCGAAGGGGTAGGAGAAGGCAGAATTAACTACCTCTTGGATGCAGCTGTGGATGTCATGGGGTTTCTTCTTGACCTTTCATTTTTATTTCACAACCTTGCCCCGTGGTTAGATCTGACCCTGTTGAGCCAGTCTTTAGTGTACATGCTGCTTCTTCTGTTTCTAGGAGTTTCTACGCCTTCAATATGATGGAAAAGCTTTCTTCAATCCAATGCTACAAAAGTAGCAACCATATTCTGACATTTACCAGGTTTACTGCAAACCGTGAGGAAGGATTTTTAAATTAATTAAATAAAATTCTGCACACACGTAAGTATGCTCAGAACTTCTGCCCAAACGCTAAATGCTCCTAACATTGCCATCCCCTTTTGAATCACATTGGAAAGCTTTACCTTGTATCAAGCCAGCATCTGTGTTCATGCAACTTATACCCATGGCTCCTCTTTCGTTCCTGACCCAAGTGTCTTGTCCATATCTTTCAAATATTCAGTTTTGTTTCTCTCCTTCAGTCCTTCATGGTTTTCAGATCCTTCAGCCAACTGCCCACATATGACTCCGCTCATGCCCCAATTTGTCTATGTCCCTTTAAAATGGGATCCAGGAACTGGATTGTGGGCTATGAGAGTCTTTATCATTTTACCACTATGCAGACATCAAACACATTAGCTCTTCTTTCTATGCCATTCTCGTGACCAATTAGCACAAGGGCAGGCTGCAGCTGTTCAGTAAGCATTAATTGGTGGTGATAAAATGTTGTGGCAGAGAAATGTTCAGCAAGTCCATGACCCTACAGCCAAGTTTACAAAACTGTAGTATGGAGTAACTTTACAGTGAATTTCAATTCATCCTATAAAAGCCTACACAGATAATTCAAACAGGAGAGCCTCTTGGACCTCACTGCCCATACAGCTGGAGAAGCTGACTGGGGATTTGCATCTGGAATGTAATGATTTCAAATCCAGAGGCTCATGCTATCATGGATTATCCCAAACCATCTGTATTGGTTCAGAGAAAGGCCGTCTGGCAAAACCCTTTCCAATTCCATATTCCAAATACTTGAATGTACATTGGAGGTATAATTTGAGCTTTTTTTCTTTTTCTCGTATTTTCTATGTTTTTATTTGAAGTAGACAACTGGGTCAGATGAGACAGACTCAGAAGTTATTATAAAGGTCACAGATAGAGTTTCAGCATACAAAAATGCCAAATAAAGATGTCTCCTTTATAGTTAGGCAAGAAGTATTTCAAGAGAGGATAATTCTGTTTGTATAAGCATTAAAATATTATAAATGTTATATAAGTCTATATTATATATGGTAACACATATGTAACTACTAACATCATATAATGTCTAAAAATGACCACTATGGTTGTGCCACTAATAGATTAAAATTAACTGAGAAACTCTTTGGCAGAATGTGGTTCCTTCTTCACATAACTGTGAAGATATTGGATATATGGACAACCATTCAGCTCCTGGAAAAGGGGCATCTGTACGGTCCAACATTCTGAGACCTTTTTTGAACCTCCCAAAGGTAAATAAATCAGGGATGGCAGCCACACTCGGTCTCGGTCATTGGGCCATTCCAAAATTGGATTACCTTCCCATGTACACTCCCCTTTCCTGCCATCTCATGTCCAAGTAAAATGTCATCAACTATAAATTACCAGTGATAGGCTCTCACCATGGAATCAGAGATCTGTGTAGGCCACTGAGGGAAGACCTCTTGCAAGAGGGTTATTTGAAAAGAAGTATAGATTATACACAGAGTGGGGTCAGACACACTGTATGTCTATAGACAAAATCATTAAGCAGAAACACAGCAGGATTTGTTTAATAATAAAGTGGTTTGTTGGGGTTTAGGATTTTATTATTTCTTTTTAGAAAAATGAGAAAATTTACAAGATGCAAAGGTCTTACACAATACATTATCACCGATATTTGTTCTCTTTACACCCTAACCCGGGCCCTGGCTTAGCCAGTGTTGGGAAGAACATGGACAGCGTGAATGCAGTTGAGACCCATCATGGACACATGTGAAGGGAAGACTCGGTGACAAATGATGTTGGGCCAGCCTGTTTCAAAAGCAAGCCAAAAAATCACAGGAACCAGCAGTCTTTGCATGGGGGAAGGATCGGTGTATGCCCTGCTGCCATGTGCATGGGGTGCAGGCCCCTGCACTGCCAGCACCCACTTCTGCTATTAGACCACAGCAACAACAGAAAATGGTGTCATTCCTTTGGTGGTGTTGTTTTGTTCTGCTTTGTTTCTGCAGGGCTACTCGAGGTCCCAATTTCTTATTTCTGTCTTTTCATGATTCAGTTCCAAATTCTTAAAGCAGTGTAGATACTCAGCATCTTTCATGAATTTTTCAGGATCCAGTTCTGCCCAATGATAATGCACTACAAAGAACAAAGATAAGACACATTACAGGAGAAGGTCCCAAAATATGCCCTCAAATCTTATTTAAAAAATATAACCAAGCCTAAAGAAACAGCTAAAGATATCCTTTCAGTTCAATGACAACGGCATGACAGTATTTCACTTTACTATGAACAATCTGCCATGTTGTCATGTATAAATCCAAACACCTTCTCACCCAAGTCTCCAATTTATCAGAACCTCATTCTTAGAGCTCAAAGAGACACTAGATATCTGGGAATTAACTCACTTCTTAATGGCCTTTGGATCAAAGAGAAATGAGAAAATATTTTAAAGTGAATGTAAATGAAAAGGCAACATATCACCCTCTGTGATATGCACCTAAGGCAGTATGTAGAGGGAAATTCATAGCATTCAAAGCTTATATTAGGGGAAAAAAAGAGCTATCACATCAATAATCTGAGTTTCCACATTAAGAAACTAAAAGAATAAAAGCAGAATAAAACCCAAAGCAAGCAGAAGAAGAAAAAAAAGACTAGAGCAGAAACTAATGAAATTTCAAACAAAAACAAAAAATAAACGGAAAGACCAATATACTTGATAAACCTTTTGCTGGACTTACCAAGAAAAAAGAAGATATAAGTTATGAATATCAGGAATCAAAGAGGCAACATCAGTATGTTTTATAGACATTAAAAGGATAAAAAAGGATATGTCACAAACAACTTCATTCCCACAAATTAGACAACACAGATGAAATAGACAAATTCCTTGAAAAAAAATACAAAAGTCTCATTTCCAAATCCTTTCAACCAAGAGGGAGGCAGAAGGGAACTTAAATAAAGCATAGGAACAGGGAATAAACTAAACACTTGCTTTTGAGGTATTTTTAATACTGCTCAAAGGATGGTAGGTTCTTCAGTATAAAATCTCCAAGTGTCTCAAGTTTCCCTCTGTAATTCTGAGGCTACAAGAAAAATAACTGGTCTTGCCAAGATTTGTGAGGCAGGCAATTGACATCCAAGAATTTAACTAAACCCCAAACTTAATACAGCAGTTTCTATTCCCTGAGATCTACATTCTAATTGGGTGAACTTCAGTAAAAGCACAAGATTCTGATAATAGTAGGTTGCAAAGTGATACCACATCTGTGAATATACTTCTGGATGCACCCAGCACGGGTTGCATTCTTAGAAAAGGGTTGTATTATGAGCAGATGCCTCACAGAATTAACAGCCTTCCATTCCTGCACCCAGCTTGATATAGAGGTCCATGGGCCCACACTAGAAAAGCTAATTATAACTGCAGCTATGTTCTCCAGTCCTATACAGACCCACACAAGGGACTGAAAATTTCCCCAAGGCCTACCCTCATGCTCGAAAACCCACCAGTCACAGTCCTGTACTACTTCTTAAGAGAGATCTCAAAGACCACAAGGGGATAGGGATTCCATAACATAATTCCTGGGGACCATATTACTTCCATTTTTAAGTCAGGAAAAACAATCCATATATTCCTATATTTTAATCATGATGTTAACCCAAATCTAGACACCTGGGCTGTATTAATGCCTCTTTCCTCATCTGCAATATTAATAACTAAAATCCTGAAACTGGATCTCACATTGACCTTTAGGGAACTTCATTTTCTTGGTGCAGATTAAAACCTTTGTTTTTGAACTTAAAATGAGCTTTGGGATCCTGCTGTAATATATTATTCTTTTACATTTACTTCAAATAAATATTCTACATGTTTCAAAGCTTTGAGATAATAAATTTATGCTTCCAATGTTTGATGTGCAGATGGAAATGATAAGGTTTGCTGAAGAAGAATAAATGACCTGGAAAATGTTCACAATATTCCATTAGATGATAAAAGCAGTGACATTATATACACAGTCTGTCTTTAACTATGTAAAATTAGAAAAAGAGATAATAGAATTATCTGATTAGAGAAAATGTTATAAAAGCATTATGTTAATAATGATTATCCTCTATGAAATAGCAGGTGACTTTTTTTTTTGAGCATTTTGGCATTTTAAACAAATTTCTGTGATGAATGAGCATTAATTCTGTAATACAAAATAGCTGTCAAAAGAAATTTTATGAGAAAGACAATTTAGAAATTCCAATTCCTTACCAGAGAATTACAGAACTAGAAGGGATCCTGAGAGTTTTCATCCCAGGAGTTCTCAGAGTTTACAGTAAACCACTCAGGCCCAGGGACTTCATAATGCACTCAACCTGAAGGGTTTAAACTAAGAATTCCTTCAGAATTAACCATTCTAATATTGGGATATGCAATAGGCACAGCTCATCATAATATCAACAGTAATAACATGAGTATATGCAAACAATGAATCATGGAACACTACATCAAAAACTAATGATGTAATGTACGTGATTAACATAATAATAAAAAAAAAAGAAAAAGAAAAATAACAAGTGATGAGCTCCCAAACTGCATGCAAGAGCCTTGTGGCCAACAGGAGACACTGTTCCACGTGAAAGCCACTGCCTCACCATGATACATGGATTGGTCAAATAGATGCTGCTTTTTATTTCCAATCTCATGTGTAACAAATGTTCCTTCTCATTTTCTTAAACATAACCGTGGAAAAAGCTAGGGGTCAGGATGCTGGCTGTCAGGTGGGTGTGGCTGGAGATCATAACACTCACACGGTCTAAAGCAGGAAAGGCGAGAGGAGCTATCTGTGAGGTCCACCTGCCAGGTCACAAGCACTGAGCAGAAGTCATGTGCAAGCGGACAAACAGAGGATACTGCACAAAAGGGTATCAAAATTTAGACACCCTGGAGGAAGGGCAATGTGCCTCCCAGTGAGGGCTATTGAGAGGATGGCATCTACTTCCAAGTGTCTTTTTCTGATGTCCCTGCAAGTCAGGTGAGCCATCTGAGGGTGGACATGACCTGCAGCCTGGACACACCTGACAGGCAGCAGTAAGTGCCTGAGATAACATAGCACCACAATTTCACAGCCTTATGGAAAGAAGTTTCTGGAGTGGTTCCCTTTTATTGCCTGCAAATATCAGGAGCAGGAGGGAATAGTCCAGCACCAGAAGAAAGGAATAACTCAACAGCCTGTTTGAGTCTCTCAAAGATGCTGATTTCCAGCTGATCTGCTTCTGGCTTCAGGCCATTCAAACAACCACAAGATGTAAGTGCCTGAGTTAAGATACACAGACCACAGACCTGCTCTCCAAACCACTGTCAAAAGAATCCAGCTTTTATGTATTTATTTCAGACCACAGTTAGGAATCTAATCCGAATTCACTTACTTAGAAAAGAAAGGCTGTTCTATGAGAAAACATGAGTGTCTGAGAAGTCCATGTTATAAGAGAAGGATTCGCTCTGACTTAGCATTTGTAGAGATTCCAGTGAACTGAACTGTCAAGTGAAGAATCTCTGCCTTTACACAAGGGCAAATGGGCCTGACTTGGTGATGAGAACATGGGGACAGTGATTCAATTTCCTGATTAAGACAGAAAATTTTAGGCACCTGGGTGTCTCAGTCGGTTAAGCATCTGAATCTTGATTTCAGCTCAGGTCTCGATCTCAGGAGTGTGAGTTCAAGCCCCAGCATGGAGCCTACTTAAGAAGAGAAGAGAATGAGAGAAGAAAAAAGAGGGAGGGAGGAAGGGAGGGAAGGAAGGAAGGAACGAACAAAGGAAGGAAGGAAGGAACGAAGGGAGGGAGGGAGGAGAGAGACAGGAAAGCTTGGTGTGGTGTGCTAAAGGAAGAAACTCCAACAGCAATTAGTTTTTATTTTTGGCTTAACTTCTACGCTATCTACTGCTCACGTATATTTGTATGTATTTAATCAAGCCAGTCTTACAGAACTGAACTTTTTTTGTCCAAATGAAATTTCTGCAATGACAGGCTTGTTCTGTGTCAGCACCATCCAACATGGCAACCACTAGCCAAATGTGGCTACTGTGACTAAGGAAATGAATTTTAAATTTTGTTTAATTTTAATTAATTTATGCTTAAATATCCACATACAGGTAGCACCTACTGTATTAAATGGCATACTTCTAGGTTATCTGTAAGCTTAGCTCAATGCTTCAGCAATAAAGAGAATCACTAACTATGGCCAGCTTCTTGGCTATTTATTTTCTAATAAATGAAACTGAGGTAGAAGCCTAGGTGCTTGGAAATCCAACCCTACTGCTGGCAAAGTAACATAATGTACCTACTCTGTATCAGCCTCCTGTATAATAACAAAACCCAGAACAACATTAAGGTTTGGGAATAGTAACCACCTCCAGGTTAGAAGAGAGAATGGGGCAGAAAATAATTTTTAAAGATATACTGCTTAAAATTTCCCAAATGTATCAAAAGACAAACATTTACAGGTTCAAGAAGCTCAGAAGACCCAAAGCAGTCATCAGAGTGAAACTCAAGATGTGATACAGATGTTGGAATTATCAGACAAGGGAAAATAAATGCGATTAATATGTTAAGGGCTCTAATGGGTAAAGCAGACAATATGTAAGAACAGATGGGTAATACAGCAGAGAGATGGAAACTCCAAGAAAGAATCAAAAGGAAATGCTAGAAATAAAAAACACCGTAACAGAAAGAAAGAATGCCTTTGATGGACTCATCAGTAGACTGAGCACAGCCAAAGAATCAGTGGGCTTGAAAACTGGTTATTGCAAACTTCCAAACTGAAATGCAAAGAGAGAAAAGAATGGGGGGGAAAGGGATGTGGGACAATTGCAAAAGGTATAACATACACATAACTGAAATACCAGGAAGAGAGAGAGAACAGAACAGAAGTATTTGAAGCAATAATAATGGCCAAGAATGTTCCAAACTGCAAAAAAACAAAGAGAAAATCTTGAAAGAAGCTGAAGGGGAGGGGGAGGACAGGAGGAAGGGGTAAGAATGGGGGACAGCTGTGAACCCACCTTACCCACAGCAGAACAAGGATGAAAACTGCAAAGGGCTTCTCAGAAGAAACTACGCAAGCAAGAAGAGAGTGCAATAGAATATTTAA